CTGAACACATTGAGCAAAGAAAAGTAACTGCATTGTCAAACTGTTCTTCCTATTACCATTTTTTTAAACTATCGGAATCTCCCTCCTGTAATTTAAGTTCATTTTTTGAAGTGAAGAATTTTGGCATTTGTCTCTGTTAAATTTCATTCATTCTCAGCCCATTTCCTTAACCTGACAAGTTTGTTCTGAATTTTATTTTCTTTGGAGTTATCCTTTCCAGTCCTGTGTCATCTGCTAATTTAATAAGCATTTATTCGGTCTACATATGCAAGTTACTAATAAAATTTTACTTATTTTGCAAGTTTTATTTACAAATTTTATTAATGCAAGTTGTTAATAAAAATACTGAAAGGCCCAGGGCCGCACCTTAGTCCTGTCCCCTCAATACCTTGCCTAATTTGATGAAGAAGCTTTGATAAACACTGAGTACAATTTTCAGGTAGTTATCAATCTATTTAATTGTTATGCTATTACCCCACATTTCTCTAGCTTGCTAATCAGAATGTTGTTCAGTGATTTTATTGAATGCCTTGCTGAAATATTATGTCTACAGTGTTTCCATAATAAATTAAAGAAATTAATTGATCAGAGTAAAGTTAGTCCGGTAAGATTTGTTTTGGTAAATCCAGAGAAAGTAATTTCTATGTTTGAAGATAAAGCTGTTCATGATCTGTTCTAGAATCAATGTAAGTCTGACTAGTCTATGATTCCTGGGTTTCTCCTTTTTCCCTTTTTGGAAGATAATACACTTCTTTAGTCATCTGACTCGCTCCCAAGACTATAGGCAGTAGTGGGATTCAGCCAGTTCGTACCACTTTGGCAGAACCGGTAGCTAATTTTTTGTTGCCCAGACCCAGAATGGACTTCCGGAAGCGGCATCCACACAGAGAACCGGTTGTTCACATATTTGAATCCCACCACTGACTATAGGGAGTGTATACTCAAAGTACACTCAAAGATAGTACAGGTAGTCCTTGACTACCTCATTTAGTGACTGTTCAAAGTTACAACAGTGCTGAAAAAAGTGAGTTACGACCGTTTTTTCTACTTATGACCATTTTTGCATCCTCATGGTCAGTGATCAAAATCTAGACACTTAGCAACTGACTCATATTTATAATGGTTGCAGGATCCTGGAGTCATATGATTACAAGCAAAGTCAATGGGAAAGCCAGATTCACTTAACAACTGTGTTACTAACTTAAAAACTGCACTGACTCATTTAACAACTGTGGGAAGAAAAGTTGTAAAATGAAGCAAAATTCACTTAACAACTATCTTGCTTAGCAACAGAAATTTTGGGCTCAATTGTGGTAATTAAGCCAAAGACTACTTGTATATAAAAGTTCAGTTAGCCATCAGGAAATTCTTTCAGTACCATATCATACAATTAATCTGCCTCTGGAGACTTACAGTAAAAAATAATAGATATTTCCTGATCATGTTTCTCTCAATATCATTGGATATACAAGTGAATGGCTGAAGTCTTTAAAAAAAAAAGAGTGACATTGGTAACTTTCTTATATTACATTTGAAGAAGTAATTTGTTAAAGTTCTGAAGAACATTATTATATTTATGGGATACTATTTGAAGGGCTAAAGATCAAGATTATTAAAATTAAAAGGACAGACTATAAAGTTGGTTTATCTGATCAAGATTAAAATAGATATGTTGTTATCTCTGGTAATCTTTAGTGGACTTGTGCAGATCAGAACTGAATGACAAAGTTTTAAGGATTTGTTTATAGATGTTTTATGGGAAGAAGAGATCATTTGTTATATGGTAAGTTACTAAAATTGTGTATACTTGCTGTAACAAAGAGCAAATTCATTTCTTTATGTAGTTATTTTCCTTTCTTATCCTATAGTCTTATTTTTTCTTTCTTTTCTTTCCTCACACCAGACCTGCAGGTGAGGATGAAGATGGCAATAATAATTTAAATGCAAATAATCATTAGCATAACAGGTACACAGATTGACTAAAGCAGACATGTCAAACTCGCAACGTCACATGATGTTGCTCAACATATTGGAGCTTTTTCGCCATTGCCAGCAATGGGGTGGGCGTGGTTTCCCAATGACACGTCCAGCCTGCAGGCCGGCAGTTTGACATCCCTGGAGTAAAGCAACAAAATGATAAGAAGATGCCTTGCTTAACATAGCCATTTTAACATTTCTCATTACGCATGGTTCCCATTGTTACTGAAACAAACAGTAAACTTTTGGACCAAATCTTGACACGGCACTTAGTTCTCTTTCCAAATGCATTGTCTTAGAGATCAAAATTATTCATAGGGCATCATCCTAATCTTATTCTAAATAGACTTTAAATTAAAATTTTGATGGACTCTTAGCTTTTAATTTTTATTGCATTTCCACCATCCAGGTTTGACGTATTTACCTATCACAGCATTTTTCTCTATTATGCCTAATAGATTCTTGAAGATGACTCCCAAAGAATTATGACTAGTAAAAATATTCATATTTTATAGCCTAAATCAGTACAAAGTTGCATTTGGTTTTTTAAACAGAAGGGAACCATTTAACATATTAAAAAATCAAGGCAGTGGATAGTCTGCTGTACATTCCTATCTGTACTGCAAATTGGAAGAGCTGTTTTTTTAAACTGAACCTGCCATCTATTCATATATACTTTAAAACAGGGTTACCCAACCCCGTCTGTGGACCAGTACCGGGCTACAGCATGCCAGCACAAACAAGCAAACAAGCAAAGCTCCATCTGCGAGATGCAAGCAGCACACAAAACCATGCACCCTCCAGTCCACAGAAAAACCTCTTTCCACGGAACCGGTCCCTGGTACCCAAAAAATTGGAGACCTCTGCTTTAAAATACCTTTCTTTAGCTTGGTGCTCTACAAGAAGATTGAATTCCAATCTCTGATTCCCAGCCAGCATAGGACTTGAAATTCAGACTCAGAAGGCATTAACTACAGTTCCATGAAAAGTCTGAAAAGCTTTAGCTTTGTTTTCACATTTCTGTTTTCATTCCCCTTGTCAAATAAAGTTGCTGCAATGATCATAAATGAGAGGATTTCAGAGCAGCTGTAAGTTTGGCCACTAAACAAATGGTTGTAAGTCAAGAACTACCTGTTGCTCACTTTTACTCACAGGGGGACAAATAACACACCTTATGAACTTCTATCAGTTTATATATGTTGTAAGGACATACCACAGCTGTAATTTATGTGATAACACATCATGATTTTGACACCACAGGTAATCCTCCACTTACAACAGTTCATTTAGTGACTGTTCGAAGTTACAGTGGCACTGAAAAAAGTGACTTATGACCATTTTTCACTTATGTGAAAATAAATCATGTGATTTATTTTCGGATGCTTGACAACTGGTTCATATTATGACAGTTGCAGTGTCCTGGGGTCATGTGATTATTTTTTGTGACCTTCTAACAAACAAAGTCAATGTAGAAGCCAGATTCACTTCACAACCATGTTACTAATTTAACTGCAGTGATTCACTTAACAAATGTGGCAAGAAAAGTCGTAAAATAGGGCAAAACTCACTTAACAAATTTCTCACTTAGCAACATAAATTCTGGGCTCAATTATGGTCATAAGTTGAGGACTATCTGTATTGCAGTTTGCTTCAGATGTTTGTGAATTACCCTCTCCCCATATGCCTACCGATAGTAAAAACTGTTCAACTCTTGTCATAAATCGATGCTTTTACAGATGACAACAAAAATACTATTTTTGTTTAGGAATCTGGAATCTATCATTAAACAACTCAGCATCTGAGATGAAGCCATTTTTTACTGTTTATTAATGCTATTTTATACCCTCATTATCACCAATATACAAAACTATAAAATGTAGCCATACAATAAAAAATCGTATCCCTCAGTCTGAAGTAATTTTATCCTTTCTTTATAGAGTATATCAAAGAAAAGAGAGGCAGTTCAATCACCATTAAGGTTTGGAAGTCCACTGCAATAAAAAATATCTGAATAAACTTGCAAAATGTTTGTTGCAGAAGGGCCTGGCACCTCTCTGAGATAAAAGTGTTGCAAAATATCCAGCTAGTGAACCATACAGTATCCAAAGAGAAACCCTGACCTCTGATCCCTGACCCTCTCATCTCTCTTAGAATAAAAAATCCAGTTTCATGCATAGGAAATATAAAACCGAAAATAAAAATGCAGAAATAGGTCACGTTCAATGTTCGAGGTAATAGATTCCCTCCCTCCCTCACCCCCCGGAAAAAGAACGCCCCAAACTTTTAGGGGGCTCAAAACGGTTCAAGAGGGCACTCTACTACATGTAGATGCCCGCCCAACGAGCCACCAAGGCGCGGGGTAAAGAGGCCACTGAGGCCGCAGCGCCTTCCTTCGGAGCCCCAAGGCCTGACGAAGGGACATCAAGTAGGCCACTGTTCGGGCCCTCTCGTCGCTATGGAAACGGACAGGCCGGGTGTGATAGTACGCAGTGAGGTCACAGGGGGAGGGAGCGAGACACGTAGGCGCGAGATGAAGGCGTAATCCGCGGCGGCCACTCGCGGGACTCCGCTCGGAGCGCGAGGGGGACGAGGAGCAAAACGGGGCAGAAGGAGCGCGCGCTCGCTCCCTCGCTCGCTCGCTCTCCCAGGGTCAAGCCGCCTAGCATCGTCAGCTCGAAAGAGGGAGGAAAAGCGCGGCCGCGCCGCTCCGCTCGCTCCAGGGATTGAAGGGTGAAGCGCGCGCGCCTCCTCGGGCGCGAGAAAGAGCCCCCCACTCGCCGGGGAACCAAGCCGGGACAAGCAGCTGAAGAGGCGTGGAGCCGGCAAGGGGGGGGGAGGGCGAAAGACCCACGCAGCCGATTGGTAGGCGGCATTTGGGACGCTTCCCACCAATCAGGACCGGCGGAGGAAAAAAGAGTTTGCCAGCCGGGGGGTGTGCTTTTTGTAGCCTCCCCTCCAATCGGAGCAGCGGCAGTCGCGGCTGAAGCCGGAGCAGCGCGCCAATCGCGGGCCAGCCAATACTAGAGAGCGCGGAGTCGGGGATGTCCTACAAGCCTATCGCGCCTGCCCCCACCAGCTCAGGAGCCGCCGGCACCAGCAGCAGTAGCGCCAGTCCCGCCCCCGGAGCCCCGCCGGTCGGTAAGAGCCCCCGCCTGCCTGCCCTGCACCCGCGCCCGAGCAGAGTGGCCGGCTGAAAGCCGAACGGGGCGGAAGGCTCTACGGCGGAGTCGCCTGGGGTCAGTGCCCGGCCCTAGAGGCTTGCCTCACCTCCCCCCCCCCTTCTCCGCCCTTTTCCTGGCAGGTTTTTCTTGGGCCTTCCAGAGCAGCTTGATAAGACAGAGGCTCGGGGGCGGCGGATCAGAAAAGGGAAGAGGGGAGAAACCCTGATTGTATTAAACGGAAAGAAACAAAATGAATGTATGCTTTAAACAAAAGGGAAAGAAACTAGGGCGAATAATATATATATATATATAGTGCATATATATATTGTGCATATATATATATATATTATTCGCCTTAGTTACTTTCCCTTTTGTTTAAAGTATGTATTCATTTTGTTTGTTTATATGTATGTGTGAATGTCTTATTACACTACTTCTTTTAAAGTAAGAATGGGCTGTTGGTTAAAAAGAAAAGCAAACCGGCCCAGAAAAGTGAAAAGTTTAACTTCTGGATGGCAAAAGCGGAGAAAGAGAAGGAAAGCTCAGTTTGCATATTTTCAGAGATTTCTGATTATATTCGGTGTGGACTGGTATAAAAATTGCAGTTTATGCTAAGAGTGAGCCCCATTAAACTCAGTTGGATTTCTGTTTGAGCAATATAGGGTGGCATAATATCAGGTGAATCATGTTTTGCTAGATTAACGATACATTAAAGTTTAATTGAAAAATAAGCACAAAGGAGGACAAGTTACAATTTTACTTATAACTCGGGCTAACTAATTTGAACATAACATAAGTGGCAGTGGCCAGAAAGAAGCAATTTCATATACCTGAAGAACGGAACTGGATCCTGGGGCTTGCATTTCTGTCAGTTTTTCTGTTAAAGAGTATTCTGACTGAGTGTTGCCTAGAATCTGCCTACCATATTTAGGAATGGAAATTACTTTTTTCCTAGTACCCAGACTACTAATTCTACTCCTTGTATATATCTTGGTGTGGTTACAGAAAGTTTCTAGAGATATTAGCTGTGCTGATACCCCCTGCCATGTACTTACGCTTCTTTTGGCATTCTGAGTCCATTATATAAGTTTGAAGATAAGTAAGTGTTGGAATGAATGTACGTATGGTGCTTGCAAAAGATGAGATTGACTTCCTGATTGTATACTTACAGGATGTAAATTATTCACAGATAGGTGTGTGTAAACTACTAAACTACAGAGGAAAAAATTAGCTCAGTGATGAGGTATAGTCTTTGCGCAAAGGACAATCAGGTTTCAGGCCATGATATGTCCAGTTAGATTTCATAATATTTTATTAAACTTTACAACTAAAAAGATTAAAAACTAACAAAGAAAAGAATTAGAAAGTGAAGAAAAATATTAGAAAAGAAATAATAAGAATATAACAAAGAAAATAAATATAAAAAGAAATTATTTCCCACTTCATTAAAACAAGTATAAACAATTTTAGTAACTTAATACCTTCTCTTAACATACAAAACGTGATCTCTTCTTTCCATATCACAAATCTTTAAAACCTTGTTATTCAGCAAAAGTCCATTAAGGGTTACCAGAGATTTTTTTATCCCTTCAAATAATGCCCTAGAACTTGATTTCTTTTTATTTTTTTCACTCTCACAAAATTCTTCAAAGTTTTAACCTTTTTTAAAATCCAATATAGGAAAGTTAGCCAGTTCATCTTTTGGTTTATTATTTGTATATTTTAATTATTAAGACATCAATGGGGTTTCATTTGTATATCCAGCATAGCTTCTTTTTCCATATAATTTCTGTAGCCTGTCATTTTTAAATTTCAAATCACCCTCAGTCTTGTCCAATAAAACATGTTTGTCCTCCATAAAATCTTTAAGCACAATCTATAATAGTAGACATGCTTAAAATTAACATATGTCCATTTTTCAAAAACATACAATATTAGAGTGTTTTGTTCCTTTCTATATTAATAAATCAAATTTAGTTCTTTAATTGTAATCTTTAGTTCCTTCTAGTTCCCTCTAATGCAGGGGTGTCAAACTCGCAACGTCCCGTGACATGTCGTGACGTATCGTGACTTTTTTGCCATTGCCGGCAATGGATGGGTGCGGTTTTGCCATGATGTATGCGGCCCGTGGGCCGGCAGTTTGACACCCTGGCTCTAATGTATAGCCTTCAAGTCCCATCAAATCCATTTTTCAAAACAAAAGCATTTTCCCATGGAAAGGCTTCTTACAATTAATTTCAAAATTTTATTTCAAATTCAACTAGACCCTTATGCCATTTGTAACTTTCTAAAATCAAAGTTCTAATCACCCATTTACTCTAAGAATTTTATAAGGCCTTACATTTGTATTTAAAACTTATTTTGAAAGGCTTAAAAGAAATTCACCCAGTGCTATAAAATTTGTCAATTCAAAGATTCCTAATATTTAAAAAAGCAGTTAACAAGCAATTTCTGAAAGTAACTAGAGAAGTATGGAAACCCAGTGTCATTAAAATGTAGACCGTGGTTTGAGCAAAGTTGGCTTTACCT